AATAGATGAAGTCATCAAGGGCTTGTTTGCAAAGGTTTGTCACAGAACCAACCCTCTGTTGAAAACCCGTTGTGGAGGGAGTACAAGGCTAAGGTTTTTGGGCTGCTCCTTTTTAAGCAGCAGGGAGACTCTATACGAACCCCAAGATATGGAACAAAATCGCACCCTTCATGCTTAAGCCGCAACCTCAGGAGCTTCTCAAAATGCCAGGGAACTCTCTAATACGTCATAGTAGGCGCTGGAACATAAACTGCTAGAAGAAGGACTTAATAAATTAGTCCAGGTGCATGAAGGAGCATGTGACTCTTGAGCAGCTTTCACATCCTGAGCCCTCAAATGCGCCTGGACTCATCTGCCAATTCGCAGCCTTTGTGCAAAAGCCGCTGCCGGAAGCGAGGAACCCCACAAAGGCTTTGCAGGCGTCTCAGCAGATCCGCGACATGGGGTTTGCAATGTTCTCTGAATGAAGGGTGTAGAATCTCAGAATTTAGAGTTTCAGGGTCAGGTTAGCAAGAGTGAGAAGACAAGGACCGTCAGAACCATTATCGTCATGATCATTATCATCATCACCACCATAACCAATTTGTAGTATTTTATTACCATCATCATGGTGGCTCCACATTCATAAGAATCAATTACCCGACGCTTCACGGTCAGCCCGTTTCTCAATTTCCCTAACGGAATTCTTGTTTTCTAGATCTCAGCCAACCCTGAGGAGAAAGAGCTGCCAGCCAAGGAGCCGCTTGAGTGACCGCACCTTGGGTGTGTGGACACAGCCGGGGGTTACGGTCCCTACGTTGATCTATGCATATGACTAACAATAAGACATATATAGCTTGTCCCAACTAGGTGGGGGCAATGGTACTTGAGCAACTGCCCCAGGCACATTGTCGATCTCATCTGGCCGAAAGGCTGCCAACTCCTCGCCAGAGGCCCGCCAAACTCGCAACAGCTGCGCCATGGGGTGAGACACGCAGTAACTGCTCTTAGGAAAATTCCAGGTAACATAAGGATGCCCAAGTTAGGGTTCCGCGGAATACCTGGAAACCGCACATCCTTCACGCAAGAACCTGGTCTTTCTGTGCTTCTTGTGGCCGCACGGAGTACTGTAGCAGCTATGCAACGCATTAGAGTTGTCATGATCACCCAAAGTGCAGCTCAAAATACTGGGCAAGTGGCTCTCTAGGCGGCTTGTGCGTTGAGTGCTTTTGGCTTCAAGGTTTAATGTTTTCAGGGCCTTTTGAAGTCGCAATAGGTCCCTGTCTTCAGCTGCAACCATTGGCTGCAACCGTCATTCCCCGGCCCCGGGTAAAGAGTTTGGCCTACCAGACTGAATGAGATTCAGGTCCTCAGCACAATAGGGAAATGGCCCTTTGGAGTTCTCAGGGAGCCTGCTTGTAGCAAACTCACAGACTGACCCCTAGAATACATGTAGGTTACAATCAACTACGTACTGACTTTGCGATTCGTGCGGCAATAGAAAAGTCCCCTTGGTTTCAGCTCCGAATCGTGTGAGCCGCAGCATACAAGCCTCCAAGATTAGATTTGCCTTCGGAGATTTGTGCACGTCAACTGACGCAGAATATCGAATCTGAAGCCTTGCATGATGCTTCACAGCAATACCAACCGAAACTTGTAGATGTGTTGGGTCTTACTTTGGGTTTTGCCGAGGCTCATGCATAGCAACCTTACAGGGGAAGCTTTTGGTCATGTCTGAGGCGCCGTCCGACAGGAACTCAGCATACGGGGTCGGGCTTCGCGCCTGGTAGCACGCGGAAACAGACCCCAAAAGCCTTGAGATCTGAGGGTCCTGTAATTCAAGAGTTGGAGGAGCTAGGCCCAAACTAAACACGTTCGGTTCAGGGTCTCAGGTTGCAGGACTGGAAGCTTGAAGCGTTCGGCTTCAGTTTTTTGGGCCTGGGGGCTTGCTACCGGGTTTCTGGATACACAAAGGGTTTAGATTGAGGTCCTTGCCCAAATCGAGGGTGGTATTCGCAAGAAGGAAGCCTGCAGGACCATTCGCAGCCTACCTGGGCAAACATTCTTCGACCGCGAGCGCGAAGCTTGTCCAGGTCTTTTTGCGCTCTATGAAGCTCTATGTGTCAACTTACACAGGGCTTGGAAGGCGCTTTTCCTTGGAACCCAAACGTAAATCGCGGGCCCACCATTTAGAGCTTTGAAAAATTGACTTGGCATCTAAAGCTGTAGGCTCTGTGATGCATTTCTAGGATCTGCGGCTGGAGTTCTGCAATGGTGCCCAGGAGACTGTCCAGCTTGGTTGTACTTCAGCTTCTGCTATCTCCCCCCCGCATTGCTCCCTAGCTTCAGCAAAAGAATCAATCACTCCAATGCTCACCCTCAGGGTTGCTAGAATCGGCCATCCGAGAAAAAAAAAAAGTTGCAAGGCTGTATCCTTAACTTCCGCTCCGAACCCAACATCCCTCAGCACGGAAGGCCTCAGGGAACTGGGATGCCATAGGCCTCAAGGGAGCGAGGACCTAACTTCTACTTGGAGACAGGGCCTGGGCCTCTATTCTGGCTCTTCGTTTATCCTTGGCAGTTTGGGATCGAAGGCATTGCTCGAGGATGATCCCTGATTCCATTTGCTCAATGTGACATCTAAGCATGGTACTACCAAGACAAAATATCGCATGCGAAGGGAGGTTGGGCTTGCAATTACTGCTGGGATCCTTACCCAAGCTTGATCCTTTGGGTTGGGTGACTGTGCGACATGTTACTGACTTACCGTTGCGCGACCGTGGTCCAATGCATGATCGATGCTTGTAAGAGCAGAACAATTCTTCGACCAGACACCTGTTACAAGTAAAGCATGCATTCTACACTTCCCACACCCCGAAGTCACTCTACATCCAAAAGCCTGGAAACCAACATCCATGAGCTTACCTGGCGCGCAGTGCTGCAGGAGAGCTCATCTTGCGTTTAGTGGAGGTCATGCAACTGCTTTGGCGAGCGCCGGAGTGTTGAGACAGTGACATGGTTACAAAATTGCTAGGAACAGCAACTGTTGCGAGATAAACCAAGCCAGCAACGATGGATATAAGACTGAGAGCAGAATTAGCACGACAGCATAAGTCAGTGTGGCATGTTACCCGAGGTTCTGACAGCCAGACTGCGCAGGGCTTGTCCCGGTTTTCCTCTTTGTCCCTGTCTCCAACTAGCCTCAGCGTCAATCACACATCGGATGAAAATCAGCTGCATCTTTCTAGCCGGGCCTGATTCGGGGATCAGGTTTGCTGTGGGCGGGTGGCCTTTCTTGAGATGGCTTGAGACATTTCAGGTGGCTTCTGCATGTAGGGATTGAGAAGTCAACCCGCGTTGCCCAGACTCAGAACCCCAAAAACAGACCTCCAATAAACGGCCTCAAGATTTAGGGATCACATGCAGAACTTTTAGGATTTGGAACTCTTAAGGCCCAGGCTCTTGGGATGCCTTGAAGCTCTGACGGCCCGTATCCTCAAGACCTCCGCCCGAATTTCCATACCTTTTTACCATGCCTCCCTTGTGATCATGATTTACAACCCCTACCTCTCAAAGCCAAATTAAATACAAGCAGGGCATCACTTTACACTTCCCGCCGAAGCAAACCCGCAACAATATAGCACGAGTGGTAATAGAGACAAGTATGCCAGAGAAATCGAAATACTTTGGAACATGCTAAACTGCCAAAGAACTCTGCCTCAAGACGGTCCTTTCAGTGATGATGACCTCAGAAATAGGATTACTAATATTACTTGCAGTCCTTTCGCAATAATGATGAGAAGAACCCCGAAGCCAGGCGGCTTTTTCTCCAGGCTGTGCAGAGAGAGGTTGCCTCGGCATCTAACATGAGTAGCGAATTTTTTTGGTGGTTGAACCTAGTAAGATGATATTCCTTATATAAAATACTATACCCCAAAAGGAGGATATAATCTTACTCTATGTTGGGTACCATAATATCCCCAAATTAAATACTACTCACATGAGTAACGAATTTCTTGGTGGTTGAACCAACTAAGATGATAGTCCCCTCCCCCTGATATCAAAACCCCCCCCTCTAATAGTAAATACTCCTATAATGTGGTATACTGGGAATATTTAAAATTAGCGGGGATTCGTCTGTATGTAAAATACTTGACTCAAAAGGAGGATATACTCTTATTCTATACTGGGTACCATGCTATGCTGAAATAAGATACTACTCATATGATGTTAGGGCGGGTTCCTGCGAAGAGGGCGGCCTAGGGACTTACCGTAAGGGAGAAATGCGGTGTCCTTAACTCGACGTTCAAGTAAGGATAGCGGAAAAAATGGAAACTACTATAGTATACTGGGGTTATATTTAGGGGTACTGGAAAAGAAAATGGAAACTATAGGCGCAATTTCATGGTGGTTCTTTGCTGGGAAGAGCGACTGGCTTCCGGGCTTTGAGGTCCGAAGTTGCACTTTAGGAGAAACTGCTCAGGCTTGAACACTTCAAGACTCCTGTGGAGCAACATGTTTTCCTGATAACTTCCTACGAAAGCGTTAGTGAGTGATTAAGGCGCAAAGGATGTCCTTCAAAGGATTCAGTGTGTTTCAGGGAGCATCACCAAGTTAGCTTGTTTAGCTCTTTTCTCGGCGAGTTGTAATCTGTCTGTTTGTCATGCTGGGACCTTGCAGAGCCTTGGACATTGTGGAATTCTGAGAAAATAGCGGCCATTCCGCTTCCACTTTTATTCAGGAGACTCAGATCACCGCCTTGGTCAGGAGAAACCTGAAACCTTGTACCGGCCTATCCGCGACCTCTCCGACTCCATATCGCACGGATGCATCCAACCCCGATCACTACTTCCAACTGACAGCCTGAGGCCAGCTAGTTTAGGGCTTAGGGTTTAGCAACAACTACCACAATCTGCAGTACATGCACAGCTGAGGTCATGTCAAACCATATGAACTATTCTTGCACAAGCTATGTCTCCAGGTAAGCGAACTCATTCCGGCCAGGTTTGATGGGCATGGCCAAACTCATGTAACTAAGGGTTATATGGGGGTTGTATGAGATGTGGGGTTATATTGGGGTTTTATATCGATACTGGAAAAAATAGAAACTACTATTTAGGGTTTAGGGCCTGAAGGCGGCTAGGATCTCTTGATGCGAGCTGTAGTACATCGAAGACGAGGACATTGAATGCTCAACCAACATATGTTGCACAGCTTTGGCACGTGCTTCCGCTGGTGGAAGATCGACAGGCTCGAAAGGGCAATGCTGACTTTCTCTACCCTGTATAGTCTATCTGCAGGCCCCGAGAAAGCACCCTTTTCCAGCAATGTCGATCCTAAAACAAGCTACCCTTCCAGGAAAAGAGAATTCAGCACCATATGAGCTATAGTCTAAACTCGTTGCATGGCCTTAAGAACTCTCAGAATACTCCCCTATATAACCCCCTTTTAGGAGTTTAGACTACGGCTCATGCATTCAACTGTGGCAACTTTTTTCAATGCTCAAATCAGCTAACCCTACCCAAAACCCTAAAACCCTAAGCCCTAAACCCTAGACCCTAAACCCTGAGCCCTGAACCCTAAAACCCTAAAACCCTAAACCCCAAACCCTGAGCCCTCAACCCCCAAGCCCCCTATCTCCATTGCTTAAGCCCAGCTGCCGTCCGACTTGCGGAGCAGGGAGCCATCTCTCCTGCCTCGGCTTGCTGGCGCAGGAATACGCTTTGGGTTTAGGGCTTTGGGGTTAGGATCTAAGGTTTAGGGTTTA